TATATATATATATATATGTGTGTGTGTGTGTGTGTGTGTGTGTCTGTATTTAATGTAAAATCCTAATTTTCTTCTGTAGAATAGCAAATAATATGAAATAATATTGTGCACATAATTTGTATATGTGTAAAACCAATTCATAGTTATTAAATATTAGACACACTAATTGTATGCAAATATTGTTACTGAATAGAAAATATAGTATCATTAAATGCAATTGAGATTGCAAATATTTTCATTTAATTACAGATTTTTTATGGCTTTAACTTTCTTGATATACATATTGGGTATATGTTTCTAAATGCATCGAGTGTCACAAGATATTAATAATAAGAGAAAAAAAATTTAGATAAAAAGTCTAAAGTTCCGATCATATAATTTTTCAAAATAAAACTAGTTTTGTCTCTCTAATTTTATTTTATTATTTTTTACTATCACTAATTCCTTTTAAGACATATGCAGACGAGTAGTCTTCATTAAACATCTGATATGTAAAGAAATTTCTATTTCTCACCAGATATAGAGTCAAGAATCCGCATGCATCGCGCATTCTTGTAAATCTCTATTGCACAGTTTTTATTACTAATAAATTTGTTTACACCAATGTAACTTCCATGTTCTATTACTTATATAGTATAATTCATTTAATCAAAATACGATCTTAAAAAAGCAACCATGGGAAGAAGCACAGTGAGAGCACTACTGGCAAAGAGATAAGAATTTGAATCTAGCAGCAACAGGCAAGCAGCACCCCACCTGAGTGGTTGTGGGAGTACGGCTGTTGCTGCAGTAATGAGTGATGGACTGCGACTGAGATCGCATTGGATGTTGTTGAGGACTGTTGAGTCTGGCTCTGAGTGGAGACGGAGGCGGAAGGCTGTCCGCTGAGACTGGGAAACTCGTGTTGGAACTGCGGGGACTGATGAGCGAGGAAACTCAGTCCAAGGGCACCTCTTGTCCCCTTCGCGCCCCCCACGAGCCCCGCGTAACCAACCACTGCTGCCACAATGGGCGTACCTATCAATTAATTGTGCCACCCAAAAAAAAAAAAGGAAAAAAAAACCTACACCGACGCTCCGCTAACACTTTGCTCATGCCCAACGTCCAGAAATGGATGTTAAAAGAATATATATCTATATGTAAATCGCAAATGCGAACTGGACAATGAATTATTGTCACATCCTATTACTGTGATATACCATATTGTAATTTCAGAGTTTGCATCGTCCTTTATCAATCCAACTCTGGACATTTAAAATTTTATGATATTAAGTGTATTTATATATCTCGATGAATTTTCTTTTAAATAAATACTGTTTATACTGTGGCATCATTATAATAATATAATACAAATCATTATATATGGTTTATATAAACAAGTAGTAAAATAATACTAAAATTGCTGCTACCTAAATTTTTTCTATATATATCTACATATTTCCAATTTTGGCATTGGAAAAATATTGTATCATTTAGATAATACTGTATCACCTATACACTAATAATTATATAGTTGATACTTTACATGTGTATGAACAATATAATATACCGATTGTTAATCCTAGTTGATTAATATATTGAAATATTTATATATATAAAACAGATGTTTATGTGAAATTAATAATTGTAATATATGCAAATGACTTTCACACATGCTGTTCCACCTACGATCTTGCATATCCCCTATTCGTAGGAGGAAGCAGCTACAAACATTTATGCATGGAAAACTAAAACTTTTTTTGTCTCACAGTTGTGACTATAATTAGATATTATTTAGATAAGTTTCTAAAAAATTGTGAATAATTAGATATGATTTAAATTTCAGTTTTTAGAAACTTTGGAAGACATTTTTAGAGCCGCTTTTTTTTTTAATTTTTTGAAGTCAAGCTTGCTTCTGGATAAACGAATTCAAAAGTGTTTGAACGGAACAAAGAATGTGAAAAATAAGTAAAGTAATTTAAAAGTCTTAACATCTTTTTTTATCAATGGTACGCATTATATGCCAGTAGTGCTACAGTGTATGGAGTATATATTTTTCTACGTACCATCTTCTAATCTGCTCATAATCGCGCTCCATGATGATTTGTTGTTTGTTTGATCCAAAAAAGGAGATTGTGATACATTTTGTTGTCCCGGTAGTAACGAGTGTAGAGATGTTGAAACAGTGTTTCCTGCTGCGCATTGTGCTGTTGAAGAGACAGTCTGCAAGTAAATATTAGCTTTAATATAGTATCTATTTCTAAATTATGAATATAATACGCAATATAAAAATTAAAAAATTAGCACTATTTTTTGTAAACTTTTCTTATCAAAAAATTTAATTATTTTCTAATTAAAAATATCTAAAAGAATATAACACTTTTCACAACTATCAAAATTAATTTATATTAATATAATTAATATAATTAAATTATTAGTAATACACTGTTAACTTTAAAATAATTGTGTTTTCTATAAACTAAAGAATATTAATTTATAACGTACAACAGTGTTATCAGATGAAGTTGCTACTGTGGTAGTAGTAGTGGTCGACGACGTGGAATCCTTAGTAGTAGCCCAACCACTTCCTCCACTTGGCACAAGACTGACAGCTGGATCACTGCTGCTAGTTTCGCTTTTTAAACTGGGCAGATTAGCAGGAGGACGCCGTGCCGAAGGCACCTTTCCAAGACTTTGCATTCCATGTTTGCGCGGTAATGTATTTTTTTGCTGATGCGGTTCCAAAGATTCGCCCTTCATTAAAATATTTGTCGAAAATATTTAATTAGTTTACACTGTAGAAAAATTTTATCTCTCAAATATTAAAATATGAGAAAGAAGATCATTATTCATGAAATATGTTGAACAGATATATAAGAAACTAAGAAAAATAAAAATAATTGTTTTCAGTGAGAGATTATTATTTCATTTAATTGAACAAAATTGTAAAAGATAATTGATAAAAGAAAGTGTCTCTCGGAAAAATAATAAGTAATAAAATGTGGTCAACACTTACCCTACTCACCCGATACAAGCTATTGATATCTAGTGATTGAAACTTGGATTTTCCTTTCTCCCCCTTCGACACAATCCCTGACAGAGTAGACATGCTGTCTGCACGCAACCATTTAGTACCAATCAGACCCAAAGAACGAACCCTTTGTCTACAAAGACAAAGATGTATAAATATCTGTCTTTTTTAGCTTTCATTTCTTTATAAAAATTAACAATGGCAACATAATTGTAATTTAAAGAATGTGGTAGAAGAAATACGACATCTTCATGTGTGTGTGTGTGTGTGATAGAATATAAAATTTCATATGATATATTAATTACATTTCGAGTTTTTCTCTGAAGACAAAAAGCATATTTCTAGGAATTAAATACTATTTCGATTCAAAATCAGAGAATTCTCAAACTGAGAAAACAATTGTGAAAAAACTGTATGAGTTAGTAAATAGCTGTGTTTATCGATGTATCTCTGCAGTGCTTGTTTTGTAGAACATGTAATCGAGTAAAAAATACATTATAACAAGATGCACAATAGTACGACAATCATTGTGCATATGCATACAATACTTTGTTTTTTAAATATTTTATGGGACCAAAACTATTTATAATAATAATGATATAGCAATGTTGCGATATTAATTTCATTATAATTCATATAATTACAGCGATACGCATATGGGAATAAGAAATGTGAAAAAGAAATTTCTAAAACGCGCATTCCGTTCCGTTAACAGCGCATTAACGGTGGAGGCGAACAGCCTGAGAAAACGCTTTGTCTGTCACGCTGTTAGAACAAGCCATCGCGCGGTAATAAAAGAACTCCAATTATTACCTAGCAAACCCAAATCCGGGCACTGATAATATTACGAATGAAAAGCCAAGGAGGGCAAGTAACGCCGAACCCAACCCCTCTCTCTCTCTCTCTCTCGACCGTGCGCGATGTCAAAGCTCGCGATAGTCCAAAACAACAATCGCGCCGTCCCTAAATACGCATCATGTTGTCGAATATTCGCCGTGTCGTAGATAGAAAAATTTCGCGATATCGTGGATACGCGAGTGTAATTTCGCCGCGATAACGGTACCCCGTCGTCGAAGAAAGCGGACAGGCCGATCCGCGTTGACGGGGGGAAAGGAATATGAAGGGGGAGGGAGGGGAGGAAAAAAAAGTGTCGGGATACAGCGAAGCATCCTCCACGTAGGAAGGAGGACTTCGCTGTCCGGACTGTTAACGGATATCGACGAAATAAGGACTTACCTTGGTCCGTCCAAATGGGTTATCAATTCACAATAGGGTTAACTCCCAGTAAAACTAGATTAACGCACGGATCGACGCGGATTATCACTTCCGACCGGATCGCGCCGCGCCTACAAGAGACACAAGAAACTTCTTCTCCACAATTCGTCCAAGATGGCGAATGCGCGACTCTCGAGGGGCCCTTCCTCCGCGCGCGCGATCAATACAATTACGTCACGCTTACCAAGGAGAACCGCT